GGGTTGAGCAGTTCCGCACCCTATCGCCCAGCAGCAGCACGTGGTGAGAGGTCACACTTCCAGGACGAATGGAGGAGTGAGATGTGTACCGAGGGAGGGATCGCAGGGTCAGCAATTTGTCCCAATGAGGCAACGAAAATGCGCGGCTTGTACGACATGCCGCCCACCTGTGATTGCGAAGGGGAGGTTCAATCAGTTATAATTATTGATTAGATTAATCATAGAAATTAGGAAAATGGCAGCGCACCCTCTTGGATGTTTGAGCGTAGTGGCGAGTTGTCATCCCGCACGTGGCAGGAAAGAGGGGTCGCCTTTGCGAGGGAAGTACTGCCGTGGCAGACAGAAGCATGGGCGAGCCCCCCGCGGTTTGGGGGAAGATGCGCGCAATCGGAGTCCGGAGGATGAGCCGGCTAGAGGCCATCTGTCCCGCCTGGATTGGAGCGAAGGTAGCCCCGGACGCCCTCCATGTCCCAAGTACGGCAGCGCTGGCTCGCGGCCGATGCATGTTCGATTTCGATTTTGATTGCTTCGTTTTTGTCGACGAGCTTTTTTCTTTGTTTTCTTTTTTCACACAGTTTTAGGCCTCTACGCGCCGTGCTGACAGCAGATTATCTGCATCTCCTTCTGTCTCTGCAGATTGCCGCCAGCAGCAAGCACCAAGAGCACAAGATGTCGGACGATGACATGATGATGAGCGAGGAGGAGGATTACGGTTTCGACTATGAGGATGCCAGCGATCCCGAAGACGAAGATGATGTGCTGGTACGGCTCGAGAACCAGTACTACACCGCCAAAGGCAGGGCTGCGGAAGACGACGAAGCCGCACTCGACGACGCGCTCGGGCTCTTCCGCGAGGTGGTCGACATGGAGGAAGAGAAGGGGGACTGGTACATCTGCTCGTGCACTTGGCACCGTGTCTTGTGGGCGGCTGCACCCACGATGCCGCCGCCTAACCACCATAACCCTCTCGGCACTGCAGGGGGTTCAAGGCCTGGAAGCAAACGGTGAAGCTCCACCTGCAGCGAGGGGAGCTCGAGAAGATGATGAGCGCCTACAGGTACTGTGGCGTGCGTGCGTGCGTGCGTGCGTGCGTGCGTGCGTGCGTGCGTGCGTGCGCTCACCGCACACGTTGCGCGCACACGTGTGGTTGCAGGAACCTCTTGACCTACACCAAGGCGGCGGTCACGCGTAACAAGAGCGAAAAGGCGATCTTGTCCATACTCGACACCGTGTCGCACTCCAACAATCGCGCCCTCCTGCACGAGTTCTACGACACCACCCTCGACTCGCTTCGAGAGGCTCAGAACGAGGTGCTTCTGCTTGCCCCCGCCTCAGCTTACCCACTCTCTTTCGTAGCATTCCTACTACTCTCTGCTCAACCCACCTCGCTCTACGCACCACAGAGGCTGTGGTTTAAGACCAAGCTCGCGGCCTCCAAGCTGGCCTACAAGAGCGAAGACTACGCCAAAGCCCTCAAGGTTCATCCAGACCTTTACTTCTACAAGTAGAGCTTTTGTCTGCAGCCCTAGTTTGCACCACACTCACAGCTCGGGCCAACGTTGTTATTTCGTCGCTCTAGGCATTGAAAGAGTTGCACGAGTATTGCGAAACGGACAAGAGCAAGCGAGGAACACAACTATTGGAGGTCCGCTTCTTGAACCATCACCCACCGCTCCCACCGCAGTACTGACAGGGCGCCGATACTTAATCATTACAGGTCTACGCCCTGGAGATTCAGGTCTACACCGCCACGAAGAACACCAAGAAGCTGAAGGTGAGTACATCTACATCGTTAACGATGAGCCAGCGTTTGCTTGGTTGGCTCATGGACTAACTAAACGCAAATACCCTGCTGTGTGTGTGTGTGTGTGTGTGTGTGGTGTAGGCCCTGTACGACCAGTCTCTGTGCGTCAAGTCGGGTGTGCCGCACCCACGCACGCTGGGCATCATCCGGGAGTGCGGTGGCAAGGCACACCTGCAGGACCACAACTGGACCAAGGCCTACGAAGACTTCTGGGAGGCCTTCAAGAACTACGACGAAGGTACACCAACCAACCAACCAACCAACTCTCAGCTGCTTCATTATAACAACGTTTGGATTGTGCACACGTAACAACGACTTGCGGCCTTGTTACGCGCAGCTGGCAGCAAG